GTTCGGGTATCTACCCCGCACACACGGGAGCAGAATATATCGTAGGTTATTGTTTGTACGGCGCGACAACCACATCTGACAAAAATTCCATAGCACATGTACACTATTACGGACGGCATGCCGGAGCAAGGTGGTGTGGTGGGTGGCGAAATGGGCCAGGTATGTGGGGCACCCACTCCTCGACGCTCCTCGAGACTGACAGTGTGGTCGAATAGGTGGACGATGTCCAGCCGGCCAACGCCCTTGATTCGTCGCGCGAAGAATTCTTTAGCTTTGGGGGCGCAATGACTACCAGCGCCTTCTTGGACTGTATCGTGCGCGCGGCGAACACCGGCAATGTCGAGCTCAGCGCCGACTCTCTTCCGACCGACGTCCTGAACCACATCGAGCGCGGCGGGGACAACGCGGCTTTCAACCCCAATTACGCCGCCAACGAAGGACCTCCTTCAACGTTCGATGCAGCCGGCCCACCCCAGGCTTCCCATACGCATTGGACAATTTCGACACCGGCCCTGACGTCGGCTACATCGAGTCCGGCATCGTCGCTGAACGCACTGTCTCCCAATTTGCCACCTGCTACCGGAAATGTCAGCGCTCAGTTCAACGGGTGGGGGACGACTAGCTGGTATGGCAACATGTGGCCGATGTCCCAACGCTCCGCTGGGGAGTCGAGCAAGACGTCGAGGTCTGTGATGGTAGATCGCACACAAGGTACGCAAACATTTTCTATCTCGCGATGAGTAAGTTGCCTGACTTATGTCTATGCCAGATGCGCCTCGCGCGCACGCCAATGGGCGCTACGAGCCCTATCGCAAGCCTCAGGCTGTCGCCATCGGCGCAGACCTGAGCGAGCACAACAATATATCAGCCAACGTCGCCTCCGCGGGAGGGGCCCAGTTGGCTAACGCAGGCGGAATCATGTCGGCGCGCCACAGTGCAGCACAGATGGGGATCGTCCCTGCAGTATCCCCGTCGCACGCGCATGGGAGCGCCGTGACGACGCAAGAGCAGCAGGCAGGCGCGAAGGATCCGTGGTCGAACCCGCCGCTTGAAGCTCTCATGGCTCCGATCACTCTCGACTCGCTGAATGCCATCCGCTCCGGTCGCGATACCGACAAACTGGAGTGCAGCTTCATCCATAAGGCCGAGGGGAGTGACGTCTTCGCGCCGTGCGGGGCGAGGTTCCTGTGCAAGGCGGTACGCGACCGCCATGTGCAGAGCATCCACCTGAAGACTGTGGGCGGCGTGTGCGTGCTGTGCAACGGCCCCAGAGTCTACTCGCGCGACGACTCGCGTCTGCGCCACATGACGGGTGCCGCTTGTCCGGTGACGAAGGGATGGTTCGAGAGATTTGGCTGGGAGTATGTGATGTCGCAGTTGCAGATGATGAGGTATGCTCCTAAGGAGGCGAATGTCAGGGAGACCGCGGCCAAGCTCAGAGCCAGGAAGATTAAGGGCAAATCGACTTAGATGGCGCTGCTGGTCTTGTCAGTACAACTCATAAGGATTCATGATAGGTTACGAACTGTTTGTAAATTGTATGCATTGATTTTATGGACTGGAACGCGTGAAGCTTGGTCGACGTGAGATTGGCAAGGCAGACTGGTGACGATGCGATTGACCCAGCTCGATCTCACTCCAGTATTGGTATCTGCGCGAGCGCGTAAGCAATTGGATAGTTCAAAGTGAGAGATGTCGTACTATAGTGGCAATCATGGGCCTCCTGTGACGGCGATGTAGTCCATCAAGTTTGTGCGCCAGCGCGAGAGTTTGCCTTCGGACCGGACAGCAGAGTGTGCTTTATAGCACACCGTCAGACCATCGGTAGCCACATCCGCAGGTGTATGCCAGCATGAGGGAGTGGTTGCGGGTCGTCGACGTTGGATCGACAATGCGCGTACGCGATTATTTGCCAATCATTACCTTCCTTAATTGCCATGTGGCAAGCGACAAATCGCTGTGACATCATATATAAACGCTCGTTTCTCGCGCGCGCGACTTTCCTCCGAACGACCATGAGCCCAGTGAGCGATGCGCGGTTTCTCTGGATGAGAAGACGCGAATGAACACGGCTGAATGATATTTTTGACCTTCTACCCGTTGGCGATGGCCTATGAGCGTCCACGATCCGTGCTTGCGCCAAACGTTTCAATCACCTGCACCGAGACAGATGAACGTCGAGGCTTGTTCGCTATCCAGCAGACAACGACGGATGTAGCGCTTGGAAAGGCAGAACGTGCTGTCGTATTTGTGTTGTCCTCTGGTATTCGCTAAGTACAACGGCCACCTTCGTCTGCTTCGGACGCAACCTCCACTTGGTTCTTATAACTTCACACACGTATTGGCTTATTCCCACCTCACTTTCGCCGGGATGGACTCTCATATTGTTCACGGAGCGATTGAAGATCTATATTTTTTTCTGACAGCCGCTCGTCTTGGGTAAGAAGGCACCGCAGTGCGAAGCCACAGCAGCGAACAAGACCGTCTGACAATGACCGCCGGTACTCGTTCGTCTCGATGTGCATCGCAACTAGACCTTTCCCTTCGAGTAACTATTGACTGCTGCCCTTTTTTCAACGCTTTAACAGCAGGATGCAGAGCAACCAACCCTTCACTCATCGACTATCCTCATCCTCAACCCTCAACACCAAGACGGCGCCCCTGAGCATCCCTCTTCCTGACAAACTTCTAAACCCCAAGTATATGCACAATCTGAGGAGTATTCAGCGCCACAGGCGGCAGCGCTGGCCGGCCCGTGAAGAATCTGTAAAAAATATTCGGAGCTATGTCTGTTCGACTCTGGTGTCGACCAGTCCCGCGAGGGCGAAAGCGAAGCCCGCGCCAGCGCGCGCGATGCTGAAGAACACAGATGGGACACGGAGAGGCGCGCTCTGCCTAATCAGGCGCTCGCAACTGCGGAGTCGGTATACTGGTCCAGTACCTACAACCAGGGAGCCTTTGATGAGATCTAGAGCTCTTTCCAGTGTGAGCTATACGTGGCGTTAGCCCTTGATTGGCCCTTGAGCATCCGACTGTATCTACATAGGTGACGTCGATGTCTCGTATTGAATAATATGGGGACAGTTTGCTATTCGATGTATGCACTAGTCGCGGACTTGTATGTGCAGCGCGTAGCTTTATTCTTGGATAGCGATATCGTGCTGTATCTCCCCGAACGAAACGCGAGCTGTTTGGGGAAACCATCATACGTACTCGTCGGCCCGAGTCTCGCAGGTCCAGGGATGACAGCCGCCACAGCTTGCAGCGAGGAGTCACGGTCATCATTCACGTTTTGCGTCTCGACCACGAGCGTGCCCAACATCGTGCAGGTTGTTAACAGCGGACTCGGACAATAATGGTGGTGGCGCGAAGACAGGGCGCGGGCGCAGCGGCCGGTTGCCGGCGGATCAAAGGCCGCTCGGGGTTACTAGCGCCAAAAGCCGAAGGCGCGACCATTCAAACGTTTGGTAACTTCGTTTTGAGTCTGACCACCGTTCGTGACGGCGAGTTCGAGCAGGTCTACACCCTATACCACAGGTGCGCTTCCAGCTCCTCACACTAATGGTACGCCCAAGCTGACGGAATATATGGCAGACCTCGCGCCGCCGCGCCGCACATGATGGCGTCCTTCCTGTCCAAAGTCCTCGGGCGCAAGAAAGGCGCAGGCGACGACGACTCTTCGTCCTCGCACAAACGGCGCTCAAGCGCGAACCTGCTCGACGGCCCCTTCGAAGATGTCTCTCCGAGCGTGTCCCCATCCATGGGCACCTTCCCCGACAACAACGCGCAAGTCGAGGACATCCGCGGCCGCGAGAGCGCGGGTACGGTGAAAGGCAGGGGGCTGTTCAGGTCGAAGAGCCGCTCAAGAGCACGGAGTCCGCCCGTGCGGAGGTCGAGCGAGCCGGATGTGCCGCATTTGTCGTTGAGCTTGGGGCAGGCGCGGGATTATAAGGCCTTGGAAGCGCTTTTTGAGGTCGACCCGGACGCGAGCGTTGTGCTCAGCGAGGGCGTGTTGGGCAAGAAGCGGTTGAGCCCCGAGGAGACGCTCGCGCTGCTGCAGGCGTGTGCGCGTGTCATTGTCGAGCGCGGTGAGCACAGTCATCATATATATTAAGAGGGTCTATGGCTAAATGGGGGCGAACAGGACTGGAGACGCTGGGGATCATGCGCCCGCACTGGCACTCTGCCTCCATCGACGTCCAGCGCAAGCTGATCTCGCTCTACATCCTCTCCCTCACGCCCTCGCCCTCCAACGCCGCCCGATCCGCATTCGACAGCGAGCTCTCCTATGCGCGCGATCCGCATGACGTCGCCGCCGTATTCCGCTGGGCGCTCCGTCACCTCGCGCTCGATGGCACTTCCTTTGGGACCACGGACGACTGGTACAGCTCCTTTGCGAGCGCCGAGCATACGCAGAGCTATCCGCCACGTGCATTCTCGACGGCGCTCGTCCCGCTCTTGCCGGCGTCGCACCGCTCGCTGCTCGATACCGCACTCGACCTCTTCGAGTCTCTATCAGCGCACTCAGAGGCGAATGGATTTTCGGGGAGTCGGCTGAGCAAGTTCTTGGGGCTGTGGCTGTTGATGGTCGAGAGGAGCAAAGAGGGCGACGATTGGAGGTCGTTTTATGAGCGGTGGGATGTGGCGGGCAGGCAGTTGGAGCATGTGTTCTTGGCTCGCATACGGTATGTCTACATCCCCTCTGTTATTCGTCTACATAAACTGACAAAGAGGGGTACAGGGACACAGCGGCCATCCAACCCGTCCCCAAGCGCCTAACAGACCTCGTCCGCGCCTACCCCTACGGCAAAGCGTCACCCACCGACCTCCTCCCCCGCCCGCGCTTCACAACGCGCCTCTACACCGCGCTCCTCGTCCGCGTCGACACGGAGTACACGACCCCCTCGCCCCCGCCTACGCCGCACGCGTTCAACATCATCTCTAAAGCCCTCTCCTCTTCTCCCTCCTCCTCCTCATCGGGCGAGGGTGAGGATGGAAATGGGGACGAGCTGGTCAAAGTGTGGCAAGCACTGAAAGAAACAGCATCGAACGCCGAAGGCCTCCCGATCCTCTCCAACATCTTCACAGACACGACCGTCCGCCTGCTCTCGCTCCTCCCCTCCCAACCTTCCCAAACCGCGCGCACGTTCTCCCTCACGGCGTTCGACGCGCCGCGCTCGCCGCCCCTTTCGCCCACTTTATCGCTGACCGATACCACTACGACGAATGCGATGTCACGCACTACTTCGATGACGCGCACGACGTCCTACGCAACGGGCGCTACGGGCGGAACGAGTGCGGTATCGCCCGAGACGCCCGCGGACTGGACGGCCTTTACGAGCGCGGGCTTCACAGCCGGCCCAGGCTCACGCCTCGCGAGCACGCTGTTCGATACGGACGTGCAACGCACACAGCCCCCGCCGCCGACGGGGCTGTCGATTCTGCCGGTGTCGCGGAAGAGCTCGAGGAAGGGCGCGAGGCTGTCGTTCGATCTTTCTGCTGCGAAGGAGAACGGCACGGGCTCCGGCGATAAAGGCAAAGGCGCAGAGCTTGCGGAGGAGGAGGAGGACGGGCAGAAGAGCCGGATCGGCGCGCTGCAAAGAATCGAGCTGGACGAGGCGTTCGTCGACTTTTGGTCCGACGCGGTCTTGGACGGGATCAGCGCGCAGTGGCCGCGGTTCGTGGTGGCGGAGCTGAGGTCGTTGCCTGAGCTGGTTTTAAAGGAGGCGGGGAGGAGCGTGGAGTATGTTGTGCTTGAACAGGCGTTTGTCCGCCCTGCGCCTCCCCCACCACCCGCGCCTGAGCCGGTCGAGGAGAAGGCTGAGCCGGCGAAGGAGCAGGAGCAGGCAGAGAAGGAAGGAGTAGACGAAGACGGCACGACCCACCGCTCGCCCCGCCCATCCCTCGCATCTGAAAACGGAGGACACGGCCGCTTCTCGCTCTCCAAACGCCGTTTCCCGTTCTTCGCGGAGAAGGAGCGCGAGGCGAAGCGGGCTGCGAAGGAGGAGTCTAAGGGCAAAGAGGCGAAGGAGAAGGGGGGTAAGAGGGAGGGCAAGGAGGGCAAGCGGGATAGTAGGGACGGGAAGGGGAAGGAGAAGGAGGGCAAGCATAAGCGGCGGGCGAGTAAGACGCCGAATGTGGGGGTTGGGGAGGTTAAGGAGGAGGACGAGGCGAAGGAGAAGAAGGAGGGCGCGGAGCTCGTCGCGGCGGGTGCTGCTGCTGTTGCTGCTGGTGCAGCCGTCGCGGCTGGTGTTGCAGCGGAGAATGCACCCGCTACTGAAGCCGAGCCCACCGCAGAAAAGTCGACGCCCAAACCAGACGCCGACCCCAGCCCTGCCACAGAGGGCGCGCCCGTCGTGGACGTTCCCACAGAACGCCTCGTCGAATCAGACGCGCCGGAGCCTGTATCCGTCGAACCCGTCAAGTTCGACGAGACGCCCGCGCCCGCGGACGATGCGCCTACTACCGCGGAGCCGTCGCCCGAGGAACCCTCCACGACCGAACCAACCGCCGCCTCAGATCCAGCCGCAGACCCAATCGAAATTCCAACAGACGCCACCGGCTCCTCTCTCCCGCCCGCGCCCGCGCAGATCGTCGCGGAGGGCGAGACGGTGGGTCCCGCGCTCGCGCTTGAGACTAGTGAGCGTGTTGCGCTGGCGGAGGCTGAGGCGGTTGAGGAGGCTGCGCCCGCATCAGTTGAGGAAGCTGCGCTGGCGCCTGTTCAAGAAGACGCGCCGGCGCCGGTCGAAGAGTCCGCACCCGCTCCAGTTCAAGAACCCACGCCCGCACCCGCTCAAGAAGCCACTCCCGCGTCCGAGCCCGTCACCGACCGCCCGCCCTCGCCCGTCGCCGAAGTCCTCGAGGGCGTCGTCGTAGAAGAGTCTGCGCCTATCGACGAGCCGTCTGTCGAAGGGACCTCTAGCGTCGAGGAGCCTGAAGCTGTGGTTGAGGCGCCGGCTGAGGAGGTGGGGGAGGCTATGGATGTTAGCGCGCCTGAGCCTGAACCGGAGGTGGATGTTGCGCCTGTCGAGCCTGAGGCTGAGGTCGCACCCGTTGAGCCCGAGCCTGAGGCTGCGCCGGTCGAGGAAGACGCGACGCCTGCTGAGCCCGCTGTCGATGTTGTTACGGAGCCTGAAGTGGAAAGCGCTGAGGTGCCTGTGGCGACTGAAGCTGAGGCTGTCGTCGAGGAGCCTGAGCCTGCTGCCGAGATCGCCTCCGAGGAGTCTGTTGCTGCGGAGCCTACGATTGAAGAGCCAGCTGTCGAAGAAGTCACAGCCGAAGAACCCGCTGTCGAGGAACCCGCTGCGCCCGCCGACGAGAAGGACGAGCCCGTACCCGAGCCCATTCCAACCGCACACGACCTCGTCCCGGAACCCGAAACCGCCCCAGAGCCCGTACCCGAACCTCTCGCATCCTCCGTGCCCATCGTAGAAGCGATCCCAGTCAGCGAGGCGCCCGTCGTGCAACCCGTCGACGAGACTCCCGCTGAACCTGCTCCCGCTCAGGAAGAAGCTCCAGCGCCTGTTGTCGAGCATGTCGAGAGCACTGAGCCTGACGTCGAGGTTCCTGTACCTACCGCCGACGAGTCTGAGGTTATCCCGCCTCCTCCTGTCGAGGACGAGGTGCCGCATATCGAGCATGTTGAAGAGGTCGCGCCTCCTGCTGAGGCTGAACCGGTCGTCGAGACGGAGCATGTTGAGGACGCCGTTCCCCATGTTGAGCACGTCGAAGCCGCGCCCGCCGACGTTGTACCCGACGTCGAAGACGTGATCCCTCCCGTTTCCGAGATCGAGCCGGAAACCACTGCGCCGCCCGAACCTGAAGTTGCAGCACCCGCTGAGCCCGAGGAGACACCAGCCGCTCAGGTACTGGTCGAGGACGAACCCGCGCAAGAGGAGGCACGCGTTCCCACGCCCATTCCCGAAGACGAAGTTCCTGTCGAACACGTTCAGGAGCCTGAGCTTGCGCCTTTGGTGGAGGAGGTTGAAGCTGCTCCCGTCGTCGAGGATGCGTCAGAGCCCGAGGCACCCGCGGTAGAGGAGCCTGTTGCGGAGGCGCCCGTGGTTGAGGCGCCCGCTGTCGAAGAGCCGCCCGCGGCAGACGAAGCGCCCGCGGTCGAGGAAGCGCCTGCAGCTGAGGAAGAAGCAGCTGTTGCCGAGGAGGCGCCGGCCACAGAGGAGGCCACTATCGTCGAGGAGACACCCGCCGTCGAGGGAGCACCCGTCGTTGACGACGCGCCCGCTGCTGAGGCAACGCCGGCCGCCGCAGAAGCGCCCGTTGAGGAAGCGCCCGTCGAGGAAGCGCCCGTCATCGAAGAGACAGCAGCTGCGGAGGAAGCACCCGCTACTGAGGAGACCCCGGCGGCCGAGGCACTGCCTGCTGCCGAAGCGGTACCTGTTGTTGAGCAAGAACCGGCTGTCGAGGAGACCCCAGCCGAAGAGCCTCAAGCCGAAGAAGCGCCCGTCGTCGCCGAAACATCCGAACCCGAGACTGCGCCCGCCGTCGAAGAGACCCCTGCTGCTGATGAAGCGCCCGCTCCCGAGGCTGTACCTGCCGTCGAGGAAACGCCAGCACCCGAAGCCGCACCCGTTGTCGAGGACACTCCCGCGCCGGCTGAGGAAGAGCCCATCCTGGAGCCGCCCGCCGAGGCCCACATACCCATCGAGGAGGAAGCGGACGCCGAAGAGCCTCAACCAACTGCAGTACCTGCTGAGGTCGAGCCAGAAGCTGCCGCTGCCAAACCGGAGGTCGCCGCTGCTGTCGAGACACCTGAGCCCTCCGTGGTTGCAGACGAGACCGTCGAGGAACAGGCTGTCGCGACGCCCGTCTCTGATGCACCGGCACCCAAAGAGACGGTCACCGCGCCTGCACAGGATGAGCCGGTAGCTGCGCCTGCTGAGGATGAACCCGCCACGGAGGACGCGCCTACGCCCGCTCCCGTAGAAGAAGCCGTGCCAGTTAAGGAGGCATCTGAAGAGACAGAACCTCTGTCGCCGTCCGCGGAGAACGAGCCTGAGGATGGGTCTGGTACGTTTATGTCAACGTTGTTGCAACACACACATAGACACTAACCTCGGCCGTAGATGAAGTCGAGCCCGCGACACCTGTGACGCCTTCTGCCGGAGAACCGACTTCGCCTACTAGCAAGTCCGCGAAGAAGAAGAGCAAGAAGTCGAAGGGCAAGCGCAAGTAATCTCCGAACGTACGCCGTGACCGCATCCTGCCTGGTTCTCTTTCTGACTTCTGCGCTATAGACATCTGCACCATCTACTTATACCCTAATATGTCCCTGTTTGTTGCTGGAGCTGAAACGTACACATATACCCCTGCATGTACTTCTTGCACTCTGTTACGAATCGCTGCTTTCCCAGTCTTGATGCTCTATGGAAACCTCTCACACCTCTCAATCCTACCCTCCCTCTCTCGATTGCTTTACCGTTGATGACCCTCATGACCACTTTATATTCATAATTTGCTTACTTGAACGACTTCACTCGTTATTGTTGTGACCAAAAAGCGCGGATCTATAATAGCTGCCACCAGCCCTCAATAAAGCTCGGGCCGATGGTTCCGCTAACTTTGATCGTTGATGCTCGTTTCTCTTCGCAGCGTCCACCTTCACTTGTCGAGAGTTCACTATTGCCACGATGAGCCATGTCGTAGACGACATTGGAACTATCCATACGCACTACTCGTCATTCATCCGGTACTTCTCGGGTGGAAGGCCATGGATAGTACTCGTATAGACATGGTGACCGTGGGTAGGCGATGTGACAAGTGGTCGGTTCTGAGATTATATACGGGTATACAGCACCGCAACATGCCATACGCACTGCCATACACTCACTGAGAGGCATCTTGGCCGCTATGACGCTTCTTTCTACCATCCACCATGCCTTCAACTCGGGAAACGCTCCAGCACGTCCTCACTCGGAAGGCCTCTCAGTTACTCCCGCCAACTACCGACAACATCTACTCCATCTGGAACGAAGCTCTTGACAGGTATCAAGCCACCTTTCAAATTGATCTACGAGATACCAGCACTCCTCTGGGGAAGAGGCTAGCCGGTTGTGTGTCGAGGGACAATATCCTAGATGCACTGCACACGACGCTTAGAGAATTCAAGGAGAGGCGGAAAGGTGCAGTGCCGATGCATGCCTTCAGGGAGGCGTTGAAACCGGTGGTATTTGGGCTGGGCGTGTTTCTCGATGCAGGAGCAGAAGCGGCATCCTCGGTTCGTGCTCCACCTTCACTTTGCTCTTGGGTTCTGGCTAAAATAACATAGGTCGTTCCGGGTGGCAAGGCTATCTTCGTCGCTGTTGGAGTAATGCTTCGGGTGAGTGGCCTCCGATAGCTTCTGCGCTGCCGCGGCACTGCTCACGAATCAGAACACAGGCGGCGGAACGAGCGACTGCGTGTTTCGATGATGTGTTGAAACTATTCAAGCAGCTCAAGGCTTATATCGATCGATTGAATGTACGGATGCAAGCTCGATTGGGGCGCGAGGCCAGGGCACTAGCAGTCGATGCTTTGGTCAAGATGTTACAGGCGCTCATGCTCGCCACGAGAATGTTGAAAGAGGGTCGTCTAGGTGCGTTTGCGATCATCTACTCACACCACTGTCTCATGCCATCTCCATAGGACGATTCGTAAGAGCGCTTTTCAAGAAGACGGACGACGTGCGTGATATCATCGGAGACTTGGAAGACATCATGGTCGAGGAGGAGCGATTATCTGTTGCGGAGACTGTCGTCGGCATGCACAAGTTATCGCTGTGCTGTGAGCAGAACATTTCCTTCTATTGATTAGATAACTCAGAACATGTCATATACAGTGCATGACGTGGTTTCTACAGCTGCTAGGGTGGAGTCGGGTGTCAACGAACTTCGAGATCACCTAAGTAACGGCCCGGGTAGGGTCTTGCTCTATGCAGATTGTGACTCAAGCGCGACTAACTCGTTCAAAGTTCAAGAATCGGTCCACCAGCAACTGGAGCAGATACAGAAGTCGCTACGGGACGCGGGCGATCATATCGGTATGTTGTCAGTGGAAGTGTCTACTTGGTGCGACGCTCATGTATCCGCGTTCTGTAGATACCGTGCAACAATCGCACCCAGCAGTCTCGCTACAGCTGACACTCACCCTCCCGAACATGAACGCTACTTCTTTACAAGAGGCAATACACCACCTCATCTCCCTATTATCAGCAGCCGACACGGAAGATCGCGTTTTCCTGGGTCAAGCTATGGCAGCGCTATATACTTGGGCAGCACACACGGTGATCTCTGATCCTAGACACAACGCGGAGGTGGTCCTCGCCACCTTATACGACCCAATACAAGTCTTCGTGACCTTCGTACCCATGGCTGTCACGATGCTCTCGGTGTTCGCTATTTGGAAATGCATCTTTCGACCTCTTGGAGCTGCCGGTGGAAGTGTGGTTCTTGTCGATGCGCTGGGGAGAGCATTTGTTCTTGACAGCGATACGTTCCTTTCATGGCAGGTAAAGTCACAAGTCCTGCCCCCCTTTACCTTTCGGTAGAACTGATGACTGTTGTAGAGCATGCATGCGTTTATACTTGAGAGCTTTCGCGGGCAACAAGGCTTGCGATACGTCGAGAACCGCAGCTACATGCTTTCCGACGTGGAGCAATCTCGAGTCCTTCGCCGTGAATCGTGGTCCCAATTAGTAAGACCGGGGATGCGACTTGAGATGGATATTCTCCTGCGCAAAACCCAGCTTACTTGCCCTTGGTGTCAAAGCGTCATCCCAGGCCCTGCGGATTCCGACGGGCTCGCGTCATGGTAAAGCAACCTTCCTCCGCAAAACGCATCACATCCTTTATTGACGAACTCTCTTCCAGAACCACTACGCCATGTAGACGCACCTTTCGTGCATTCGGCTATGCCGACGTCGAATCAGGGACTGGAACTTCGGATTCGATCCTGGATCTCGATCCGTCAAAAGGGAAGAAGTAAGTTGTACTTACTACTGCCGATATCCCAACTTCGTATCTGACTGGCTCTCCTTTCGCCAGCCCTTTGCGCCCGGTGCTCGATGACGCCGGCAGTGGCCCAGCCGCGCGGTCAAACTCATCTGCTCTTGATACCAGATCGGAAGAAGCGAGGGCACCGCGATATAGCAGTCCGGCGGCAGACGAAGTACTAGACGACGTGTTCAGGATCCGTCAAATAGCCGTCCAGTTCTTCTTGGACTGGGTTAAGCCGAGAACTTCGGGCGGTTCAGAGCCTCAAGGAGCTGACGACGTGTCCCAACTGCGCAAAGGGGCCATACAGTTCCGAGTCTCGGATCGGGCTTACGACCTCCAGAAACGGGCTCTTCGACCCCGACGTGGAGCACGCTGTGGAATCTCCCGGGGTACTTCAAAGACGATTTTGCCTGCAGGATTCAATCCGCAGTGACGGTCTGTTAAGCATTCGCCGTTCCATCACGCCGTCATCTAGTCCGATATTATTACTGGACTGAGATTCTCTGTATGAGAATGTTGTTGGCGTATCTGATTGATATGTACTACCTGCAAGCTTAGAAGTTGCGGAGCCTTATATAATACTTATACAGTCTTGATGACCAGACAATCGGTCGCGCTAATGCTCGATTCGTCGATCTGCGCTACGGCGTGTGTTGGCAAAGGTAGATTCGTATGGATAGTCCGGGCTGGCGCGCTAATGTGACTAGGAGCAGACACGATATACGCTCGGATTTTTTCGCGGTATAAGCAGCCCATCCAATAGACATGCGGTCCAAGGCTTCATGTCCCACCGTACTCGGGGTGACAAAAAATGATTGAACGGCCCTCCGGATGTCGGTCCGAGTTCCCACGGTAGGACGTCAGTACATTCTACTTCGTGCGGCCTACGTAGGCTCTAACAAAGCCCTCCTTGTGTGTGAGTTCCGAAATGGAGCAAACTCGTAGTGAGAGAGCTGCACGACCGTAAGCTTCCACGCGCGGTGTTCAATCATTTTTTGTCACCCCGAGTACATTCCATCCATGCACGTCTGGTCGGGAGACAAAGATAGAATATGCAGAATGACGCCCGTGGCCGTTCGAAGGAGGAGCGCGACGACGACGATTGGGCGTTTATATATCGTGTCACGGCGATTTGTCGTGTGCCACATGGCAATTAACGCAGGTAATGATTGGCAAATAATCGCCTACGCGCATTGTCAATCTAACGTCGACGACCCGGAACCACCCCTCCATGCTGGCATACACCTGCGGCTGTGGTTACTGACAGTCTACTGGTGTGCTATAAAGCACGGTCTGCTGTCCGGTCCGAAGGCAGGCTCTCGCGCTGGCGCAGAAACTTGATGGACTACATCGCCGTCGCAGGAGGCCCATGATTGCCATGATAGTACGACATCTCTCACTTTGAACTATCCAATCGCTCATGCGCTCGCACAGATACCAATACTGAAGTGAGATCGAGCTGGGTCAATCCCATCGTCGCCAGTCTGCCTTGCCAATCTCACGTCGACTGAGCTTCACGCGTTCAAGTCCATAATCAATGCATACAATTTACAAGCAGTCCGTAACCTATCATGAATCCTTATGAGTTGTACTGACAAGACCAGCAGCGCCATCTAAGTCGATTTGCCCTTAATCTTCCTGGCTCTGAGCTTGGCC